CCCCCCCCCACCCTTCCTCTTCGTCGTTGACGATGCTAAGGTAACTTCGGCATGTCACAATACGAGCGGCGATCGGGGAAGAACAAGATGAAGGGATACGTCACGTCGCTCTACTCGCCCATCGTCGTGCGCCTCATGGAGATACTCGTGTTCTTCGACGACTGGCACTCGAGTCTTCAAGCGTCGCCGCCAACAACCAGCGGCGGTGATCAGGACTGGAAGAGGCACTTCATCACCCGAGAGTCTTGGTTTGACCTGCGAGCGTGCATCCTTGGATTCGTGTCCGTCTGCCGGTATCTATTGGAGTTTCCGGCCAGGTTCCAAGATGGCAATCTGTGCGATGCTTTTCGCTACATCCACCCGCGCACGTTCAGCCAGGCGAGTTATGACTGAATCACATCCACCCCCCGTCTGCTCGGCGATATAAGGCTGGTTGGGAAATCCGGGAGTATGCGGCCGATTGTTATTTATGCGCTTTGAAATCGCTTCTTTGCATGTTTTTGTTTGTTTCATCGTGCTCCGACGGGATTGATGGTCGGAGAAAAACTAGGCCTTCCCGTGGGGATTGAACTCCGATACTGATATCCCGAGAACACGCTCTGTAAGGAAAGAAATGTCGATTTTTCTTTCATACGCGCCGAAAATACGAGTTGTTTAAGTTTTTTTTCTTTCTTTGCGTTTTTGTCTACTCGAGCTACGTATACAACCACATTTCGAAGTACCCTGAACAGTCATTCGATGTAGACTGGATCCAGACATTCAGGGTGGCAGCAAATACCGAGGGGGACGGCAAATAACGGGCGGCCGGATATATTTCAAAAATCATTTCTAGGGAAAAAAAGTGTTCCGAGCGGGAGTCCTCCTGACATCATGTGCAAGAACTCTTCGCCTAAGTGTTATCCCTACCGTGGTCGGGCGGACGGAGTGTACGAAATCTAGCACATTGATGCACACCGGCTTCACCCAATCCCTTTCTTTCACACTCTATTGCATGATGCTGCGGCTCTCCTCCTAATCCCAGGACATACTGGAGCACATGTTTGCGCACATCCTCGCGAACCTAGGGACACACAACGTCCCCACGGCCGCGATGGCGGTGCAAAGGTCAGAGTTGGCGGACCAGAACCGAGGGTTACACGGGTCTTCCCGCATGAACTCGAACCGGAATGCAACCGCCGGGGAGGATTTCAACGTCGCGGATTAGTCTACAGGGGAAAGATCATGTGTTGGCCGTGACAAAGGCCGAGCGGGCTACATATGTGCGGGCTCGTTCTCGGAACTTGCACGTTGCCGTGATCATGCCTCGCTACTTGGCCCTCAAGAAAACTCGGGGCATACTCTAGACTAAAGGGAGCGTGATTCACAGCGTTGTTGGAAAGTTTCGAAGTTAGACTAGTTTTGGTATACTAGACAGCGGGGTGGCAAACAAACAGTAGTTTGTTGGATGACTTCCCGTGGAGGGGTGGTAAAGACCTTGAGTATTTTAGATCCGAGTTGAACGATTTCGATAGTCGCGGAGTGGGAGTATTATCGACTGCGGGCGTTCTGGTGTCGTATTAGTTTCGTTGCGTACATATACGTGGCTCGTCTAATGTATCTGCGTGAAATGGGATCGCGCACGACCGGCGGGCTGTCTGTCATGGACTGTGCCTCCGCCTGGGGGGTGGGGAGGGGGTGAGGGGGTCAAGGGTTCTGGTGGCGATGACGGGTATGGGGAAATGCTCGGAGATTTNGGGGGGGGGGGGGGGGGGGGGGGGGGGGGGGGGGGGGGGGGGGGGGGGGGGGGGGGGGGGGGGGGGGGGGGGGGGGGGGGGGGGGGGGGGGGGGTGCCCGGTAGTTCTTTAGACAAGTGGGACAAGGCCGTGCCACCCGATAGTGAACAGCATAAATCGTATTGTGCAGGTATTATCTTCTTTGTTTTTAGATAGTCTCAAAAGTATTGTAGTTGTTGCGCCGTGTTTCGCAGTGCGTGAAACGGGAGCGACAAGCCGTACTTACCTGACTTTACCTCGATGGGTCTCCAGTGCTTGTGATTTTCCCATTTCAAATTGATTCTGTTTGTTCTTTGGTGTTGACCGCATGCAATGCTTCATGGCCAAATATAAAAACCTTAGTCGTTTTTTTTTTTATCCTGGCTATTAGGGGGGTCGACAACGCGACCTCCAGAGTTGGGTCTTCGTTTGCAAATTCGGTAAAATTCCAGTCCGACCTTCCTTCTCCGGTCATACTGTACTGGGCTGGGTTAGGTCCTATGGGGTAGTGCTTCAAATCGGCGATTCCAACCCCCACATGTTCCCCCGAAAGGCCAACATGCAACATCCGGAGTTCAAATGCAGAACAATGTATCCGACAGTCTATAAACTGCACCTTTAACCTCCTCGACCCCTGTATCAATGTCTTCCGAACGAAAGAGACCGTTTCTCTCGAAATCTCCGAGCATTTCCCCATACCCGTCATCGCCACCAGAACCCTCGACCCCCTCGCCCCCTCCCCCCCCTCCTCCGTCACTCCCCTCCCCACAGTCGTCCCCCCAACACGCGGGGTCGATCGGCTGGTCGTTGTAGAAATCCTCGAATTGCCCGCGCAATTCCCCTCCTCCTGTCTACGTGCCCTCGCATCAGAAACGGCCAATTCCTGCAGAGTTTCCATTCATTGGAGCTCGTCTGTTTCGACGCTATCACATTCGGTGCCGACCACGTCAACCTCCATCGCCCCCCCTCCCTGATTGTGTCCTGCCCCCATGCCTGCAGATGGCGGATCACTGGGTACTCTCTCCCCTACACCGGGGTCGTTTCCCCCATTGTTGCCTCTAGCTTCGGCGGCGAACTGCTCGTTCAACTTCGCGAGCAGGACAGCCTTCGTATCGCCCTTCAACATACGACCACCCGCTTGCGTAAAAAGTGCCCTTATTTTAACCTTGAGTAGCCCCAATAGCTCAACGTCTGACATCCCTCTGGCCGTTGCGAGATCTACTTCGGGATTAGCAGATGCTCCCTTCGCTCCCTGTTTCCCTCCCGCGGTCGGGTCCGTTTCCTTACCCCCCCCCCTCCATGCTAGTCCCGGACACCTTACTGTCAGCCTTTGAAGAGCTACGCAGGGCAAGCTCGGTTCCCTTGCACTTGCCAAGGGAGGCAGATACCTCGCTCAGTCTCTGCGTAAAGTCCGAAAAACGGAGGTTATGGAACTTATCCATGATCAATATCCTTAGCTTCTCGAGTGCCTTGGCATCGGCTTCGAAAGGGGGGGGGTTCCACGGCAGCAGGACAACACTTCGCCCAGGCATCCTTCACCTCCTCCGACTCGCTCACCACCCTCAATGGCCCAGCAGGCAAGTCCCCCAGATACGGGCCCAAGTAGTATGGTTGGTGGAGGACGTGATAGTATCCATTCTCCAGCATCAGCACGAAGTTGTAGAAGTCAAGACTGACGAAAAGGAGCCCTGCCCCGTTTTTCAGATCGATCCGCTTGTCGACGCCAGCGACCAGGTTACTCAGGTGGGCGTCTGTTTCTATCGCTGCGGCACTCGATTTGGAATGATGTCTTGGAATAAACCAACCCCACTCCATATCCTCGATGCCGGCTCTATCCATGTGCTTCCACGCCCTGCTAAGTATAGCACCTCGGAGCGCTTTTTCGTAAGCAAGTGCATCTTGCGTGGGTACGCAAGGGCGATCTTGTTCGCGGCCTTCCTCTCGGCAACAAACACCCTCTATAGACGCTAGTTTTCAAGGAAAAAGAGACAGAAAAGGGGGCGAGGAGACGACAAACAAGGGGTGAGACCCGTGACGTCCGACGTAAAGACGGCCGAATGGGAAAGTTGGAGACACAATTCGGCGCCAAGCGCGGGAACATAAAGTCATATCCGCGAGCCGCGTTTTTATGCGCATGCACTCTCGTTGCTGGGAGGTTTATCACGAGGCGTGAAGGCAAAATTGCACGAATACGAAAACGCCTCACCCACAGAATCGTCTGTATGACAACACGAACATCATTTAAGTTCATGCGGGTTATGTCTACGGGGGGCACGCATACCCCGTGCAACGTCCACCTCGAAAGGACAACGCTGGATATGCGTCACCCGAATACACCACCTTCACCCGCCAAACCAACTAACCAAAAGCTAGTACATCGGCCTATGCCCGCCTAAACATGCTACATACACTACATGGATGCCCCGGGAAAGAATCCAGTCTCCCACCTCATCGATTGTGTTGTGCAAATGCAACTCAACGTTCTCCGGGCTGCATCCCCCTTCTCCGTCTGCGCCACTTCTTGAGTAGCAGCGTCATGCTCGATCCAAGCACGCAGGCGCTTTTCCCATGTGTCGAAGCGTTTCAAGGTAAACGCCGTCGCTGTCCTCGTCGAAGGCTTGTTTTTTTTCAGTTTCAAGGAGCTTCAGAAGAGAGCCCCACGAGCAGACAATCAGCTAACGTGTAGGTTGCAATGCCTTAACCTTTTCCCACATTGGCAGCATCCAAACGCACGTCTGATCGAGGTGGTTCGTCACACTCGCCAGCACCTGCTCCTGCTCCACCTACTCCATGATGTCATCCGCCGACCTTTCGAGCTCCCCCAAATGATGCTGCATTACTGCCGATGCCACGGCCGAAAACGCAGACTACCAGTAATTAAGGACAGACACACGGAACGGATCGAAGGGTCAGAAACAAACAAAAAAACACAGAGGACTCTACTACACCACATCACCGCTTAACGCCTTTCAGACGGCGAAGAGCATGTGGTAACCCTAACCCTAAGGCGCATGTTACCCGTCAGATATGTGAAGGCAGTACACACGCACGCATTCTCCGGGAGGTCGCAGTCACCACGTCATGTTCACACCGCAACTAGCTGACGTTCCCAGTACATGTTTCCAGATAAAGCATAACTATGGACTAAAGGAGCTCACCACGTCACCATTCAACGTGCCGGCGAATTCCCTTGTTTCCAAACGACTGATATCGTCCTCGCTCCCATCTGACACCCCGCCGTCGTCGTCCTCCACAGTTCCTGGTTTGTAGGGGAAGGTCGGGTCGTGATAAATTATGGAGTCGGCCTACAGGGTATGACCCAACGTTTTCGGAGCATCCGACATCCATGCCATGACCATGAGGTCGTCTATGCTCTTCAGCGACAAAAACGTCACCGGATGCTTTACCAGAAACGTTGCTACAAAGAGTACAAAAACCTAGCGGTACCATATATTTCTAAGCTTTTCATTTATTCTAAAGCAGCACAAACAGCATTTGTGCCGTGCACTCCAACCCGTGCCCACACCGAAAGCTTGTTGACCCCGATAATACCCACCCTCCTGCTGGGTATTATCTATAATTGTCAACGCGCCTAGAGGGCAGCATCCTCTTCCCTAAGGTTACACTTGGACAAGCGCTTTCCGTCAACCCCAGGAACGGAAGCGAAACAACCTTCAAACTTGCAATAGATCAAGGCGAGGAAGGGTGGGGGATGATGAGGTTGGCACAGGCACCTGCAACTTGTCATAAGCTATGGGTCACTCACATCTTCGAACATTCGTCTCATTAACACAGGCGAGAAGCTCCCCCCGAGTTCTCCTTCCTCCTCGCCCGCACGACTGAGGTCACAGGTGTCCCTTTGGGGCACGACGCCGGGAGTAACCTCAACGAACACGCGAGCGACCAGGCACACATGGTTTACGGAGGTTAATATTACCAGACTTAAATGGCTGAAATAGGTCACAAACGGCAGTATCCAACGAGATGACACTTACCTGTTTTCGCTGCAGCGAAACAGACCTTGCGAAGGGGTTCATGGTATGTGGTGACTTCCAAAACGACGGCCACATGCTCGTCGCGATACACAGGTCGGAACTACTGCTGTAGGCTCGGATACGTTATCTGACCCGAGGCCGGCAGCAGACATTTAAAATGTAAAACACAACTGCCAACATGTTCTAAATTCCACGATGACATAGTTCATATATGGCACAGCCTCGATTTGAATGCCAGGTGCAATATGTGTGTTCGCCTAGTGCAACATGCTACCTGCAGCGAAACACACACGTCCGCACAAACTGTGTCTTCGGTAGAAGTACAGCATAAACAACAGCTGCTGCGTCGAGAACACAGCAGTTCTCAGGGGTAACACACGCACCATTTCGGAGTTCCTTCATCTATAAACGCCCACTCTCTAGTATGAACAACCTTCTGAACGGGTCGTTGCGTGCTATGCACACGTACAGACGTATTTAGTGTGTTGTCTAGGCGGCGAAGTTGAGACAGGGAAGTCGGCAAGTGGTGAGCTGGCTTTGAGGCTGCCCCACGTTGCGCCGGTTGAAGACAACTTTTTCATCAACTCTTGACGCACAACGGACGGATTTACGAATGGATTCCTGCGGAAGCTTCTCTGAGAGATGCGCTATAAGAATATATGAACAATGTTCACCTTTCCATATGGTCCTGGGGCGGTGTCTCTGCCGGCGCGTATGGCACACGAGATAGCAGGGCTAACAATCTGGTGGGGAGCCAGCAGCTGATCGTTGGCCATGCACTCACGTGACCTATTTGCAGCGCGTTCTTCGCAGCTTGTTCTCCTTGTGATGACCCAAGGGTTCCCTCCAAGTTTCAGCCGTGTTGGTGCTCGAGGGGCGGGGTACTGCTGTGTTGATGCGTGATGAACCTGGGGCTGATTGTGGTTGCCCCGCGTGTCTGCGAAGACTGGGCTCTGTGTCCAGAATGGATAATCAAGGTGAAAAAGCGTACGGCCGATACCCCGATTCCCCAGTCCATCTCCCCTCTCGTCTCAGGACTTCTGGCGACGCTTCCCCCGCTGCCAAGTACGTGGCGCCCCCAATCCGAGGGGAATGCGATGCGTAGTCTGACGACGGCAGACCCGCTAACGACACGACTTGCCGCAGCACTTCTGTCGCGTGACGACGAGTCCACACGGACCATCGCCCCTCCCGGGTTCCGAACGCGACTAACGGAGCAGACGAAGGGAGAACAGGGTAGCATGACAGGAGCATCACATCAACTGCACCCCCCCCACACTCCACAGACTGGGGAGGCCCCGGCCTCGCCGGCGTACACACGGCACCCTTCCGAAACTGGTCGCCTTTCGACGACCGAAACCGCACCTCGACTCTGTCGGCCTCTCCCCTCCGTTCAGGAGGCAACTGGCGAGAACCCAAAAAAACAAAACGCCATGTCCCCCCGACGCAACCCATGACAAGAATCCATGGCTAACGCGGACCCAGCGAACATTTTGCATGCCCGCATCAAGAAAAAAAATGACGCACTCAACGCCAGAAACAACACGCGCCCACCCGTGCCCCACAATGGCACCAGACGCTCCCCTTCCTTCAGCATCGACCACGACACCGGACGTCGCACCCGTTGCTGCACACCAACACCCGCATGCCCTCGCGCCACCCCTTTGAGCGCCTGCTTGATCAAAGAATGACATGTATCAACTTCCATCGCATACGACAAGCGGTGAAAAAAATTAACAGCAGACAAATGACCAGCTATCGTCGTCTGCCTCAAGCCCAACACTGTGAACGCGTATGCCACGTACTCTAACAATTGCGAAATAATGTCCGGCGATGGAGACGACGGCATCATAAACGCCGGTCTCCCCACAACGTCCTCTCGAAACTTCACCCACGCTCCAAAAAATCCAAGGTAAGTTCGTTCAGACGACGGCGCAAGTGCGTGCCGGACGAGCTCGAAGCCGGCACGGTGGAGCACAACTCGAGCTCCGTCGGGCCAAACTCCACGATCTGCCACGCCACATGAGGGGAGGCAGCGCACAGGTTATCATGAACATCGTTAGTATTCCAACGTGAGGTACCATCAGCAAGCGAGTTGAGTATGCCGGGAACATGGGTCGCGTGGAAATGCCACCCGCTGGCTACCTCNCGTGAACATCGTTAGTATTCCAACGGGAGATACCATCAGCAAGCGAGTTGAGTATGCCGGGAACATGGGTCGCGTGGAAATGCCACCCGCTGGCTACCTCCAGCGCCCCCAGTAGGCGCACCAGCGCCCCCGATCGAGGCTCAAGGCCTCCCCGACAACGCCCAATCCACGCCGTCGCTGCTTCGTTGTCTCCTCGAAGTCGCACACAATCACCCGCCTCCACAGGCTGGTGACTTCGACCCAATACCAACACCCACGCCCCCATGACCATGCCAAGGAGCTCTAACACGTTGATGCTGACATCATTAACCCCCTGGACCGATTTGCTCGACCCCACAAAGCAAGCTTGCTCTTCCACAGACAGATCATATCGAAAGTAGTGGCCCGTTTGCAAACGATACCCTCCAATTGCTTGCTTAGACGCATCGGTGAACACGGATAGTGCAGGCGGGCGTTCCAAAATGTTGTACATGGGTGCACACGAACTTCCGCCGCGCCACGAGTGACCTCGCCCGTGGAACCACCGCCAAAATTCGAGATCATCGTGGAATAATGGACCCAGCACTACACGTCTGTTCGGGCTCCGCACTTAGGACGCGAAAGTAGACGAAGCAGGCATCCTTACCGCGGGCAAAAGGCGCCCTACAAAAAACATTCTTGGCCGCAACATGAACGAAATGTGCATGAGAAACCCTGTCAACTCGGCTACTTGACGAGCTGTAGCGACTCTCGGTCGCGGGCCACGCAGCCAAAATGCGTCCCAGTTTCTGCTGTTTCGTGTCGGTCATAGTAATCGTGAGTTGCTGAGCGTCCAATGTCCAACCCAACACATCCAGACGGGTAGCGAAATAGGTGATCTTTCCTTGCGACAACAATGGCGGGTCTGCTGGGCCTCTCTCTCCCAACAGACGAAAGTGATCCGTAGCGAGAGAACGCACCGCGCGCAAACATCGGCGACCATCAGCGAAAAATCTCCCTTCAATCAACACGCCATCATCAACGTAGTATCGCACGAAAAACGGAGAACCAG